AGCTAAGCAAACAATATACATCCAATCCGAAATTTACACAAGTGTCATACTTAACCATGTATTTTTTATTCTGTAACATACATACATTGTACTTTGTTAACTAATGAATAATTGTAAAACCAGAGTTAATTCTGCAACTCATACAGATCCATCTGTACACTGCTTGCTGCGGTGAGTTGCAGAAATCACCATCAGGGGAGAGGAACTGAGCCTTCACCGCTGGCCATGGCTTGGAAAGACAACAAATCATTCTGCCGCTTCCAGCGCTGACGGCCGTCGCTCCTTCCACTGCTTGTTGTCGTCCTCACGCACTTTCCCATCTGAGGAAACAAAAAGGAAGGAGAGGGTCAAGCTGCAAACGGACGAGCGGCCATCTAACTGACGAACGGACGAGCGAACCATGAGTCCACCGGAATCACACCTAGACCGCCGCCCCACTGCAAGAACGCCGCCACGCAGCTGCAGATCGAGAGAGGAGTTCTGCCCTGTCCGTGACTCCCGTGTGGTGCTGCAGATCGAGAGAGAAAAGAAGAATGAGCCGGCGGCGAGGTTTGGAAGGAATCAGGGCCGCGGAGCAGATCGGGGAGGGAGAGAGGCGAGGGGAGGCAGCGGAGGTGCCGGTCAACAGGGTTTGCGGGAGACATGAGTGAGACGAGGGAGACGGTTCCATGTCGTCCGCTCGATTTGGAGGTTCCACTCGGTTCCGCATCTGGGCCGAATATTCGGTATGCGGGAACGAGTTGGTTACCATTCCACCTACAAACCAAACGCGAGAACTAGGCCCAAGAACGGGTCCGACCTGTGACATTCCAGTCCATTCCAGAAACCAAACACACCCTTAGGTATCTCACATAAGCGTAGCTGAATCAGAACGTGAAGAATATGTTTGCAAGGAAGTCCTTTGTGATACATACTTCTGCAACTGCACTTCACGGTTTCTTCGGAGTTACCTGGGGTGTAGTCCACAGTGAATCTGATATCCCTATTTTCCTTCCATGTCAGTATGAATCTGTGAGTGTCTGCTCTTCTTAGTCTCTCAAGGACCTCAAGCTCCCATGCCTTCTTCATATCTTCCTGTAAGATATAAAAGTTTGCCGTAGTGAACTCACGGGCAGCTGATTTCTCAATATCTTTACACTCGTCCAATACTGGTACTGGGACTGTCTTTGAGTTTGTTTAATCGTCATGTGCCTCGTTCTCACGAAGACGAACTATGCAGTTCTCATAGTGCACACTCATATCAACAATAGTCATACCGGAGTGTAGATGCAAGTGAAGGCATGAATTCAGACTCTCACTTCGCTGGTTACTTCGCATACCTAGGAAAAACCCACCAGACAGATAGGATGCAGCCCAAAGCCTTTTCTTCTTGTACATCCTACGTAACCATGTCTTTGTTTTCTCCGACTGCCATTTGGCGGTAAACGCTGCCCATCTCTCCTCAAATACTTTTTTTGAAGTGGCATAATAAAGTAGAGACCTGAACTCCTTTAGAGACTTATGATGAAGGTGTTTCTGCATGTTCTTCTCAATATGCCACCACCAAAGACGATGCCAAACCTCCGAAAGTACCTTTCTGATGGCCTTAATCATAGTTGCATCTCCATTAGTAATTACTGACCTGGGCCTCTTCTGACAGTGAGCCCTCAAAAACGTCTGAAGTAGCCAACATATGTATCTTCCGTCTCGTCAGACACAAGAGCACAACCGAATACCGTGGTGCAACAATGGTTGTTCAGACCGACAAAAGGTATAAATGACATGTCATACCTATTCATCCTGTATGTGTTGTCGAAGACGGTCACATCACCGTAGTCAACATAGTCTCGACGTGATTGAGAATCACACCAGAATATGTTTTTCAGCCTTCCTTCATCATCGACAGTGTGCTCAAAGAAGAAATATGGATCCCTCATCATGGTCCCAATGTCAGTGTCTGCATCACCTTGCGCAAGCAACTTCATTTTTTCTCTATAACACATGTTATAAAGCTTCTTCCTCCCAAAACCAGCCTTTGCATATGACCCGTACCTACTGACAAGATTATCATAAATCATATGTTTCCTGATTCCAGCACCTGCCATAGTTAAGATCTCAGCTTTCTGATATTCTTTTATCTGATTATGAGACCGAAGAAACGTGACGTCATCCGGTCTAGCTAGAACGTGACTGTGATCATCACTGAAACTGCTGACATACCAAACGTCACGCTCTTTATCAAGTTTCAAAGTTATATGTGCATCGCAGAAGCAACGAGTCTCCCCTCTCAGCCTGCGGGTCCTGCCTTCCATTGTACAAAGTTTTGCCTGTCGTTTCCCAGCTCTCGCACACAGATACTTTCTCAAGCACTTAGTTCCCTCAGGACCTTTCGAATATTTCAGTGAGTCCTCTCTTACGTTGAAACCACGCTCGTAAGCATACTTGTTATAGAAAATATAAGCCTCTCCTGGTGACTTGAATGTCTTCCTCATGACCGTCCAATGCATGTCCAATGATTCTTACTGATATTCATCAAATCCGATGTCAAAATTAAACAGATCATCACCAACATGCTCATCCTTCCCGCTTGTACCATCTGCATCTCCCTGTAAATTAATGCATGAAACCATTTATGTCTGTCAGTTATTATTTTAATATCTAATGTATGTAAGTTTCAAAACTTACTTTGCTGGAGCTGTCATCATGAGATGCATCAACGTGCGATTTGTTACTTTCATCGTCCATAATATTCCTCACAAAGTCCCCGTCCTCGTCCATCTTCGCACATTTCAAAAAAATACATGTAAGCGCTCATATGGTTATTATGCCATTTCTTCTCTCATTTTTTTTAAAAACATACCCGGAGTGCATTTTCAGCAAATGAATCATCTATATCCATATCATCATCATCATCGCCATGTCGCTGCATGATGCAAAAAAACATGTAATTGTCCGTGCGGTTTATCATATTTATTGTTTTTATCAACATTGATCACACTTACATTGCCACTATAAGATTCATCCATACTCATGTAGTTCTCCTCAACAGGTTCATCCATATTTAGTGACGAGGTTTCGTTGTCCTCGCCGTAATCATCGCCATCATAATCGCCCTCCTCTTCTAACTATACATGTTTAAAAAAATTCTAAGATCAATCAAACACCATGTAACATCATCCCTAAAACAATTTGTTCATCAAGCACAACGACGTCTCAAACCAACCTCTTGCACGGCGGTGAGGATTTCAGTCGGATCCATTTTGTCTGATGACGAACGTGATGACGGCGTGACGTTGCTGGCCGGCGGAGGCAGATGTCGACGGCGTGAGGACGATGGTCGGTCGTAGCAGGCGGAGTGCGCGGAGGGAGGCGGCAACGAAGATCACGGGTGGGCGGCCATCTGGGCGACGGGAATGGAACGCGGCGGCAGCGGCAACGGCGCCGGGGCATGTGCGGCGGCCTGTTTGGGCGGTGACCCGGGCGACGGCGACTTCGTGCAGACGGGGGCCGACGTTGAGACGGTGTGGATGCGTTTAGGGTTTAGGGTTTCGGCGGCGGGCGTCAGCGGCTACCATGTCGGGTTTTTTTCCCAATAACTATCGACGCCAACGTGGAGACTTGCGGGCGTGCGGCGACGACGTACGGCAACGGGTGCGGGTACACGGACGGGCGTACGTATAATGACGGGTGCGGCATACGCGGGCGGGCGTACGACGTCGCACGCGGACGTACGGCGTCGGGGTGGGTATTTCTATACCTAATGTGAAATGACCATACTACCCATTATACGTTTTAGGGGGTTGTACCGAAGCAGTGTGTTACGTATAGTAGTGTAATGTATATATACAAGTTGGTGGCAATTTCCTCATCCTTTTGAGGGCGAGAAAGAGGTTTTTTATACATGAGAAAAGGCACTAGCAAAGCCACCTTCAGACAGACTGTCAAAGAAAAAGAAAAAACAAAGCCGACTTGAGAAGAAGCGAGTGGCAAGGCAGAATGAGCTTCCATCTCAATCAAACGGGAAAAGGCAGAAGGAGCTTCTCTCCGAAGACGATGCCCAGCTGCCCCATTTCCCGATCTGCTGACGGTGAGGCGAGGTAGAGCAGAGTTGACCTCGACCTGTGTTTGTGGATTGTGGATTTGTGGTGGTATGGCGCACGGGGCGGGAGGTGCTGCCGCCTCGACCGGCACGGTGCGCTGCCGCTGCGCCTGCGCGCGCACCCCCATGGGATGGGAGGGGACGAACGGGAGAGACGAGCGCTGGCTGGCCGGTGCGATGCGGCGACAGACGTGCTGAGAATGGCCACGCGCTTTCTTCCCTGGCCTGAAAAGAAAGTACGGGGGAAAAGGCGACGGAAACTTCGTCGGGCGTAAAATATCTCAGACGGTCGTGGTCTGGACTCTGGAGAGAGGGACACCCGAGGATGGCCGTGGCAGCAGCCTTTGTCCCGTTGGAACAGGGCCAAACCCGCACCGTTGTGGCACGGCTCGGTACCCGGCGAGACGAGACGTGCCGGAAAGGCAGCTTCACCCCGTCGGTCTCCGTCTCCAAAGCTTTGATCCCAACAGCAGCCAGCAGGAATGCAGGATCCGATGTGCAAAAACAAAAGCAAGCCACGCAACGGCACAATTTCCCTTCCCCTTTGCCGCTGTTTCTGCCTTTTCTTTTCTTTTCCCCCGATCTCAGAGCTCCACAGTCCCAACTCACGGTCGGAGCATGTGTTCGCTGTACTTGAACCAGAATCAGATCAGAGGCGTAGGTAATGTAGTACTGCCGTCTCAGCTCGCCACTTGTGTCAATGATGTCGATGAGATACTCAAAACTCAAAAGCCGCGTCTCCTCACGTCTGCCCAATTGAGTGGTGTGTGATTCCGACTGTACCGTTGCCGTCGTCAAAGCAGCTTCGGGTTTAAACCCCTACTTAAACCCCCCTCATCGATCCCCTCTGGTCCTCCACACGTCAACGCCCGCTCGCTCTCCAACGGCGACTCCGCACGACCGCGCGCAACAGAGCAGGGCCATGGTGGCATCCATGGCGGCCTCCCCCCTCCGGCCGCTCCTCTTTCTCCTCCTCGCCGCCCTCGCCTGCCACGGTAAGCCATTCCTCCGCCCGCTCACCCGACGACCCACCCTGACCCGCGCTAGTTGCTGACGTGTGCTACGTTGCTCTGTCCGTTTCTTTTGCTCCTGCAGCGGCGGACGCGAGCTGGAGCGGGAACCCCTTCCGCCACGGCCACGGGCGGGGCCGCGGCCTCGGCGTCAACTACGGCAGGGTGGCCGACAACATCCCGACGCCGCGGCGGTCCGTGCAGCTGCTGCGCGCGGCGGGGGCGGGCTCCGTCAAGATCTACGACGCCAACCCGGCGGTGCTCCGCGCGCTGGCCGGCACGGGCATGGCGGTCTCCATCATGGTGCCCAACCAGATCATCCCGGACCTGGCCGCCTCCTACGCCGCCGCCGACCGCTGGGTCGCCGACAACCTGCTCCCCTACCTCCCGCGGACGCGGGTCAAGTACCTACTCGTCGGCAACGAGGTGCTCTCCGACGGCTCCATCGCGGCCTCCACCTGGACCCGCATCGTGCCGGCCATGGAGAACCTCCACCGCAGCCTCCGCGCGCGCCGCGTCAGCCGCGTCAAGCTCGGCACCACGCTCGCCATGGACGCGCTCGTCACGGGCGCCTTCCCGCGCCCGCCGTCCGCCGCGGCGTTCCGCCCCGACATCGCCGAGCAGGTCATGCGCCCACTGCTCCGCTTCCTCGAGGGCACCAACTCCTACTACTTCGTCGACGCCTACACCTACTTCGTCTGGGCCGGCAGCAACGGCACCGTCCCGCTCGACTACGCGCTCCTCCAGGCCGCCACGCGCGCCCGCTACGTCGACCCCGGCACGGGGCTCACCTACACCAACCTGCTCGACGAAATGCTCGACGCCGTGGGCGCCGCCATGTCCAAGCTCGGCCACGGGAGCGTCAGGATCGCCATCGCGGAGACCGGCTGGCCCAACGGCGGCGACTACGACCAGATCGGCGCCAACGTCCGCAACGCCGCCGTCTACAACAGGAACCTCGCGGCGCGGATGGCCAGGAACCCCGGCACGCCGGCGCGGCCGGGCGCCAGGATGCCGGTGTTCGTCTTCTCCCTCTACAACGAGAACCTCAAGCCCGGCCCGGGCACCGAGCGCCACTGGGGCCTCTACTACGCCAACGGCACAGCCGTGTACCCGGTCGACCTCACCGGGCGGCGGCCGCTGTGGGCGTACCCGCCGCTGCCGGCGCCGGAGAACGACACGCCGTACAAGGGGCCGATATGGTGCGTGCTGGCCGCCCACGCCGGCAGGAAGGTGAACGAGACGGCGGTGGGGGACGCGCTGACGTACGCGTGCGGGCAGGGGAACGGGACGTGCGACGCCATCCAGCCCGGCGGCGAGTGCTTCCAGCCCAACACGGGCGCGGCGCACGCCAGCTACGCCTTCAACTCCTACTGGCAACAGTTCAGGAAGACCGGAGCTACGTGCTACTTCAACAACCTCGCAGAGCAGACCATCAAGGACCCAAGTAAGCATGCTCAAACTCAACACTGCTCTGCTCTATATACATTGTGAAATTATTAGTACATGAAGATAAAATGATTTATGCATGAACATTGCAAGTACATTAGATTATTTGAGCTTGTGCATTGGGTTAATGAAACTGTGTACTCTTGGCGTTGGTTAGCAGTACGTGGTGAACAGAATAGATAGTACATTTTTCAGATGAGCAAAAGAGGTAGTGTCTTTAGTTTCTTTAGCTGGCCGTGGGATGAACCTTCCGAAAGTAGCCAAGGCTATAGAGTCTAGGAGAACAGTACAGGACCAGCTTGCTTCTAGGTATCATCGGGGTGATTAAATTAAACTGTTTTAACTTGTCACCTGAGATTATATCGGCTTATTCAAATGACCAAATCTGGATCAATCAGGTCATTCCAAACTAGGAGATCCATCCGATGCAGTGCTTAGCTGCTACGGAGGGTTTACTTATTATAATGACGATTAGGGCGATGAAATCAAATTGTCCTAACGTCTCTCCTGATATTATACTACCAGATGTCCCTGTTGTGATGCATCTGGTGTACTCACATATCTTAGGTAGGTGGTTCACTAAAGAGATTAGGATCGAGATATTTGAAAATGCTTGCCAGTTACAATTAGTTGCTAGCCAGTAAGCTTTAGGCATCTGTTGCCGATACCTGATTGATGCCCTTGATAATGTATTCTGGTAATGATATATGATGATTATAATGGACCTGTGCGGTCAATAAGAGAACCCTTTATTCTGTCAAGAGAGTTGACCCCTGGATTGGAGATCCAGATATTGATCTTCACAAGTTGTGCGTGAGATCTGCTGTTGCCAAAATATAATCAGTAGCCATAGTGTTGACCCAGACATTTCGATCTCAACTGTCTTGCATAGTGTCTTAAGAATAAGTAGAAGGTCGTCTCTGACAACTTCATCTTATGGAACGATATGAGCACCTGAAACTGGTGTGCGCTTTAGAGCATTATGAACCCTCCCCTCTAACGAACATTTAGCTGATTTCATTTTACCGACTAGGTGAAGCTAGTATCCGCAACCCCACATTAGCATGGTGATATGGCACAGAGAATCCTACCGTGGTGACTATGTACACCTGGCTCGCTGACAAATTAATTTTGCTGAGACGATCAGGTCGCAGTTGTCATCCTTGTTCTGAAAGGTCCATTCTGATAGGCATAGTAGAGCTGGCTGTCGTTTCTCCATTGGTTTTTAATGCTAAACCCAGGTGCACTGTTGATCGAGTCAAAGTCCAACTGCACATTTCACGTTACCTTTGGACACCCTGCATCCGCATGACTGCATTGCCCGTCTGCCATCGGCATGAGCATGCAGGCAGTGGTTATCTGAATCGGCAGTCCTTGATACATTTGAGAGTAGGGTGGATACAGAATCATAATTTCTGCACATACTTAGAAAATGTCAGGGTTCAGTATGCAGAACATTTCTCGTACGCTTTTGTCGAATTCCCATAAGCTGCACAGGATGGGTGTCGACTGTCGAGTATTGATGGCTGTAGGTAGTAGGGGTAGTTTCCTTTCAGAGCTGAAGCCCATCCATCCACGTACTCCTGCTTGCCTGCTTGCGTGCGTGTCTTTCTCTCGGTTCTTTCCGCCTATCGTTTTAGCTTAAACTTGGTAAAAGATTATGTCGCAGAGTGTTAATCTGGTCTGAAAAGCATAAAGAAGCCTTTCCATTATTACTTGAAGAAGAAATCAGAATCTCCAGCTACAAAGCACATAATTATATCTTACTAATGTTACATACCAATGATTCTTGAGGACTTAATTATTCAGAGCAAGCATGGCAATTGCAACCTGATCATCTCAACACTACCACTTCTGAGAAACTTTACTCGAAGCTACATATATGATGACTGTATGAGCGGTTTCTACTTTCTGAAGCAACTGACATGTGTTCCCCTCTGATGTCGATAGGGCGTCGACATGCAACTGATTTTGTTAGCCTTTGGTTATTGTTAACTGGAATTTATTTATTTTTCTTTTGCGGGGAAGTTGTTGTTGACTGGTTAACTCTGCCCTTTTCAGGCCACGGATCCTGCAAGTTCAGCAGTTCATTGGGCTGATTGATTCATACAAGGAAGGAGGGAGGACGGCGAGGGTGGTGTATTATGATGCTACTGATGTTCTCAAACCTTCTGATGTAGTAACAGTGATAGCTGACCGTCCGTTTGACCGTTTTTCGTTGTGGTTAGGCCGCTGTCCTTTTCTTGTTTCAAAATCATTCATGTACTGTACGTCATCTGTTGACGGTTGAAATGATAGTCACTCTGATTTTTATTGTTACTGGCTCTCGCTAATCCTGTCACTTGGCACTAACAATCTCATCCTTTTGTCTCTTTTGTCTGTCCCATACCTACTACTGGAATGCAACGTTCACTTGCCTACTTCACTCTCTGCCAATGTGCACAATTTTGCACAAAGCCACGACGCACCTCTCACTCGTTTCCATCACTGGTCCTTTCCTCGTCACAGTTGCCATAGCTGTGCTGGCCATAGCTGATTGATTCCGTGGTTAATCTATTCTGTTAATGATACATGAGGGTTATAACGGGCAATAAAACAACTAATTATTCCGCCAAGAGAGTTTGACCCACACTTTGGAGATCCAGATATTGATGTGCACAAGATGTGCATGAGATCTGTTGTTGCCAAAATATAATCAGCTGACATATTGTTGACCCAGTACAGTTGGATCTGGACTGTCTTTGATATTGTCTTAAGCGTAAGTAGAAGGTCGTATCTTGACAACTTCATCTAATGGAATGAGATGCACACACGAAACTGGTGTTCGGTTTAGAGCACCATGAACTCCCCTTTTCTGAATGCATTTAGCAACATGTAGGATGATTTCATTTTACTGACTAGAATTGGATGGTTCCTTACAGTGTACACCAATTCTTAGCTTAACAGCCATGTGCTTGTTGAAGCTATCATCTCCAACTCCACATTAGCATCTTTCTAACAATTTGGCACAGAGTTGGTACTATGCAGACTTTTCCTGCCGCAAGTGTTGATGGCTCGCTGACAAAAATTGTGGTGAGATGATCAGGTTGCAGTTGCCATCCTTGTTCTGAAAGGTCCATTCAGATAGGCATAGTAGAGCTGGCTGTCGTTTCTCCGTTGGTTCTAAATGCTAAACCCAGGTGCACTTCGGTTCTCCGTTGGTTGGTCGAGTCAAAGCCCAACTGCACATTTCACATTGCCTTTGGATCCCCTGCATCTGCATTGCCCGTCTGCCATCGGCATGAGCATGCAGGCAATGGTTATGCAGGCAATGGAGGAAGTACATTTGAAAGTAGGGTGGATACTGAACCATAATTTCTGCACATATTTAGAAAACATCAGGGTTCAGTGTGCAGAACACCTCGTACGCTTTTGTCGAATTCTCACAAGCACAAGAGGATGGGCGTCGAGTGCTGATGGCTGTAGGTGAGACGTCTGCAATATGCGTAGTTTCCTTTCAGAGCTGAAACCCATCCATGATCCATCCACGTACTCCTGCTTGCGCGCGCTTCTTTCCCTCGGTTCTTTTGGCCTGTCGCTTTAGCTTAAACTTGGTAAAAGATGACGTTGCAGAGTGTTAATTTGGTCCGAAAAGCATGAAAGGCCTTCCCATTATTACTTGAAGAAGAAATTAGAATCTCCAGCTGCAAACCACGTAATTATATCTTACTAATGCTACATCCAATGATTCTTGAGGACAACTATGAGAGGCCGCTGAGTACATATGATGACTATATGAGCGGTTTCTACTAGCTGAAGCAACTCACCCACGACGTCGACATGCAACTGCTTTCCTTTTATTACCCTTCGGTTGTTGTTAACTGGTTAATTCTGCCTCTCACTGCAGGCTACGGGTCATGCAAGTTCAGCAGCTCGTTGGGATGATAGATTTACGCAAGGACATGAAAGGGAGGGAGGGAGGACAGTTGGCGGGGTGTATGATCCTGATCAATTTCGGATGTAACAGCAACCGTTATTTCTTTGCGAGTGGTGGGTGTAACAGTGATAGCTGACCGTTTGTTTGACCGTATTTTGTTGTGTTTAGGCTGTTGCTCTCTTGTTGTTTCGATTCGAAAACATTCACGCACTTCATCTAGTGACTGACAGAGGTGAAATGATAGTAGTCACTCTGATTTTATTTATTACTGGCTCTTGATGATCATGTCACTTGGCACCAACCATCTTATCCTTTCGCCCCTTTTGTCTGTCCCATTTCTACTACTGGAATGCAACGTTCACTTGCCTATTTCACTCTGTGCGCAATTGCACAAAGCCACGACGTACCTCTCACTCGTTTGCATCGCTGGACCTTTCCTCGTCAAAATTGCTATAGCTGTGCTGCATGCTGACGTCCAATCTCTGTCCATCCATGTCGACTGCACTGCATGTGAGGCTTGTCGCTGCTTGGGTCTGTACTATGTAGAGTACTTGGCAAGCACGCGTACGTGCCACACTTCTGGCATGAAGCAATTCCACGATGATGTTTTTTGGTGACAAGTTTAGTTATCTGAAGATGAATACTTTAATTGTGAAGCATGATAACTTTTTGTTTGGACGACAAGTTTCAGTTTTATTATGGATTTTGTTTTTTATGACATTTTTAGCTGTAAAAAAAACAGGGTGGTGTAAATTCATGTCATACGCGTGACACTTATCATTTGAGAAAAAGAATTGCACCTAAGCACATAGTACACACGAGAGAGAGTACCCATGACCGCTAAGTGCTAACTGATGGTGAGATTATCATGACAGGAGCTTAGGGGAAAACAAGACGATCCCTTTGCTTGGCGTGCATGTTAAGCATATCAAGATTCCTCTGCCAAGTGGTGGCCGGTATAATGAGCTTATGAGCAGAGGCAAGGGTGGGAAACTCTTCACTGTGGTTATTCGATCATAGCTTCATCTTCTTCATTTTTAACAAGGAAACCTGTAGGCAGTGGTGGAGCTAGAAAAACTGGATCACGGAAGCCAAGTGATGTTAAAACAGATCGTATGCATCGACCGATGCAGAGGCCGGCGGTTATCCTCCTTTCCAAAAGAAAAAAGTGATGTTAAAACAGGTTAGGGGAGGGCTAAACCTTGATAAAATGGGCTTTGAGCAACAAAATCACTGATTAAGCATTGTTCATCCGATGGACTAATTTTCACACAAAGGCTCACAACAAGCACACAAAATATGAGACTACGACCAAACATACCAATGACTTCATCAAATCAAAACTCTTGGTTCTTGCTCGAGACGAAACAGGACACAAAGTCCTCACAAAAGAGACCACCGTGTGAGGTACAATCAAAAGAAGAAGAAAAGAAGTCTTTACCCATCAAGTCTAGAGGAGCTAAGGAAAAGTCATGCCATGCTGACCAGACCTTGCAATTTGAAGCCATGGATTGACGTGAAACACATACCCTAAGGAGATGGACAATTATTACGCAAGCCGATGTACTCCCTCCGTTCCTTTTTAGTCTGCATATAAGATTTGGTCAAAGTCAAACTTTGTAAAGTTTGAACAACTTTATAAGAGAAAATATCAACATCTACAATAGTAAAGCTATATGGTATGAAAATTCATTTCATGATGCATCTAACAATATTGATTTCATATTATGAATCTCGATATATTTTTCTATAAACTGAGTCAAAGTTAACAAAGTTTGACTTTGACCAAACCTTATATGCAGACTAAAAAGAAACGGAGGGAGTATTATAGTGGGCACAACGAACCACGACCCGGTAAGAACAACTCCAACGCGCCAATCCATTTTTTGTCAGTATTTTGTCCGTTTGGGTCGACCACCTGCTCGGCGTCCGCCCTCTTTAAGATTTGGGTCGGCGGTGCATCCAACGGCCGCGACCCATTTCATGCTCGCATGCAAATTTCAGAAAAGGCCCGTGGCCATAGATCATGCTAGCGGACATGTCATCGCCCAAAGTTCATGCCAACGTCGGCATACAATGCCAGCTTCAGAAAAACACCACACAGTTCAGCTGGCACACTTTCCAACGGCCGGCACACATGCCAGCACACAAAAGGAAGCAGGAGTTCGACCACGTCATCGCGGCCGTGGTCATGCGAGCACACTTGCCAGCATACAAAAAAGATGGCGCTCGCCGCCATAGGTCACTCGTCGTCAAACTTGAGCATGTCAGCCTGCATCTTTTCGAACCACGACCTCTTCCTTGGCGACACGGTGTTGAGATCCACCTTCATGATCTCCACCCCATCATCATGCTAGTGGGAACCACTTCTTTCACATTGGTCTTGGCATTGGCGGCCTCGATCTCTAGCATCTTGGCTTGCTTCTCCACCTACATCTCAAGCATCCTCGTTTGCTTCTCCGCCTCCGTCTCAAGCATCCTTGTTTGCTTCTCCTCCTCCATCTCAAGCCTCCTCCTTTGGATCTCCATGATGGCGCTCATTTGTTCTTCCTTGTTGAAAGAACATGCGGTGCCCCCATGTTTGGTTTTGGTAATTGATGACAATCTCTATGGACTAATGGTTGTCTTGAGTTATATTTGAAGGATTTGTCCATAGGATTTTCTTGAAGTCCATGTGTTGGTTTCAAGGAGTTTATGAGTTGACCAAGGTGCTATTAAGGAATTATCCAAAGATTGGTCGAGTGTTGACCTTATTGCAAGCATGTCTTGAAGAAGAAGGTTGTGTGATCATTCATGTTTACCTTCAATACATCATCCAAATGAAGAGAGTTGGAAAGATTCATCACACAAAGGGCACAAGATGTACCGAGGGATCAAGTGATCCCATGGTATGGTAAGCATTGTCCATTACGCTTTGTGTGCTAACCCATGGTCTTTGTGAGAGTTCTTTGTGGGGTTAGGTTACGGTGTGCAAGTTCAAGTGATGTATCACGAAGAGATCAAGTGTTTGAAGCTTGCCGTCCATTGTGGTGACAATGGACTTGTGAAGATGAGCAGAAGAGTGGCTCACCCATAGTGGAGTATGGGGGAGCAATCAACTAGTCTTCATCGAGCCAACGCAATCAAGAAAGGTGGTCCATCTTGAGGAGGAGTAGATCGTCATCATCTAGCTCAAGTGGATTT